GAGCTGCATTCAGACTCAATCTTGGCTGCGAGACCTGGCTGCCAGCATCAGCCATTGGCCTGGAGTAACCAAAGTGGATTGCAAGAGATGCGAAACTGGAAAATTCTATAAATAAGGCCATCTCAAAGGCAATGACCACTTGAGTTCTGATATTTCCTTGCAGAAAGATTTTTTTTTTTGGGACTGTAAAGTTACCCGTTGGAACTTGCAGTGGTTCAAATCCAGTAGCCGTAGAAAACTAGACCCTCCAGTGGATCCCAATCCCTTCTGTAGAGGAGGCTCTGGAGATTCAGGATGTGAATGTTATCCAAGTCTGCAAGAGCAATGGAAGGGAGATAGAATGGTTAAAGGTTAATTTCAGGTATTAAATCAATGCAAAATTTTCTAACATCTGTATGATTGGCGCTGTCAATGGCCTTTGATGCCATTGATCAAAGAGTTGTGCTAATTCATTACAAGCTAACATGAAATGACCATGTTCTTAGCTCCTGGGGAGAAGCTAAAATACACTTTCTTTTACAAGTGTAGGATCCTAGGGTGTTACAGGATGCAATTAGTTTTTCTCTTTTTCTTTTTTGTCCTTAAACTTCAGGCTGTCATGTTGATTTCTGAAAAAGGAAGTTTTCACTAGAAAACCCCTTAGGATGCATTTCTGCTGCCATAACTGAAGCTTGGTTACTAAAAAGGTTAAAGAATCTTTCACTTGCTCAGAGCAAGAAAGTGATAATTCACAGAGGAAAATAGAGACCAGTGTTGTCGTGAGATGAGTAACCCAATCAAGAACACCTAACCTGGGAATTCCCTGGTGGTCCAGTGGCTAGGACTGCACGCTTTCACTGCCGAGGGCCCAGGTTCATTCCCTGGAAAAAAAAAACCCATCTAATTTAACGAAAGATTGCCCAGCCATTCCAGGATTTATGGAAAGCAAGTAAGCACTGTCAGAAAAATCAACTTAATAAATCAATGTTGCTCTTCTATTTCTCATTTTCATTTTTTTCCCCCAACAGCCTTCTCTTTGTGTGAGGCACTCGCAGGGTCACGGGATGATACAGGTTATATGGAAAGCATTGGCAGGATTGGAAATTATTTGAACTCGATGTGTTTTGAGGAGGTATTGCAAAGACTTGCTGCCCAAAGAGCTCCCTCCCTCCAATCCCAGGCAGACGTGAGGCAAGGCCTGTGCCAGGCTGCCTTCCTGGAGCAGAGTTCTGTGGTTCGTTTTGCTGAACGTTTTTTCAGTGACTAGCAATTTAAGCATGCCTCTGCAAGCTCCTATTTAATTTTTCAAAACGTTACTGTAAATCCAGGCAAATTGTACGCTCCTTTTTCAAAGTTCTCTTTAGCCGTGGGGACACACGATTATAATCTTCTGCTGTATCGAACCACAGCTATGCAGGCATTAAAGAGAATGAGGCAGACCTGTAGACACTAACACGGAGAGACCTAAAAGATGTAGTTAAGTGAAAAAAGCAAGAGGCAGAAAAAATTGTTTAGGAAACATTCTGTTATTTATGCCGACATATAGAAAAACAAGCAGACACAGCAAACTGTAAATTTGGTTACTGTAAGGTCGGATCTTAACAAACGGCACCGCGAAACAGAGGAAAGCTTCAAGTGAGCTCTATTAGGGAGCGCTCCCGGGCGAGGTGCACTGGTCCAAGAGAAAGGTGCCAGAGAAGTCGCGCCCGGGCGAGGGTTGGGCAAGATTTTATAGGGGAAGAAGGGAAAGGGGTGTGGTGAATCTGGGAGGGCAAAGGGTATTCCTTATTTGGTGGTCTTTTCCGGTATCCTGGGGGACCGTTAGTCCCGCCCCTCGAAAGGCGGGAAGGCTGGGCAGGGTGCAAAGTCCCCAGGTCAGTTCCTGGAACTGGGTGGTCCGGAGAGTTCCGGTCTGATGCAACCTGTGAATCTGATTGTGTTCCCCTGCCTCGGGCCAGTTGGCCTTACAGTTACCTTTGGGGAGGAAACAGCAGTGGGTGAGGGGTGAAAAATGGACTTGTACCTTTCACTCTCTATGCTTCTGTATTGCTTGAATCTTTTTTTGCTATGATGTATTAATGAATTATTTCTGTAATAAGATAGTTTTTAAAGAGTGACTAAATATGGTCACAGTGCTTCAAACACACTGAGAGAAACACCTATTTTTATCTTCTCCTTTGTGTCAGAATATATACATAATATTTTTGTTGTTATATCATTTACTGTAGCACAGATAAGAAGGGGTTAAGCCATCTAGGTCATTTTTAAACACCGGGATTCTTGCAATCAAGGCAATCAAAACCCACTTCCACCTTAGCCCTCTGCCACCATTCATCAAATAGGTCTTGTTCTGCTGGGAAGACAATATTGTTTCACAAGTAGGAAAATACCCAGCTGCAAATGGTTTGTACAGAGCTGGGAAGAAATCTCCTGAGAATTCCAGGAGAAGGAGGTCAGCGGTGTCCTGCTCCTACATGGGTCGCAGTGTGTGCTTTCTTTTTCTAGAGTGAAACCTCTCAATAGCCGGATGTCCCGGAGATGAATGAAAATTTTCCTGACATGCAGAGTGGGCCTTAGAAATGAGGGCTAAACAAATCCTAACATGGAAGAAATAAGCATTGGGAATTCTCTTGGAATGAACAGGAAGTGGAATTCCAAAGGAGCCAGTCTGTGTTGCCCGCCGCCTTTCTGATTTAATTTGTGTTGTCCGAGCTTCGCCCTCACGCCTTGTAAAGTCTCACTTTCCTTCACTGTCTGTCACCAAATGACATTTTCAGAAGGTTGGGGGGATTCACTGCTGGCCTCGGCGCATGGGGTTCTTGGTAAGCGCAGGAGATGTTTTCTCTCTCTCTTCTTTCTTTCTAGCCATTCCGATCTCTCACCGTCCTTCAGTCAAAGCCTTCTGCACTACCTTTACCATGCATATTAGGGATAGAAAGCATCATAAAAAAGGGACCTATAGCACCATAGTCCTTTAATTTTCCTGGGAAAGAGTAAAGCTGATTACTTTGTCAGTATCTAACGGAATCTTTTGTTTTGTTTGTTTGTTTTTATCTCCCTGAATATTATTGTGAGAGTCACAGGTTTGACCAGATCATTCCCTCGTGTAGGTGGGAATAAGAACTGGTAGAGAAATGGGGGCAGGAAGTGGAGGGAATCACGCCTCTGTTAAGCTAGCCTCCTTTTGATGGGTGTGCTTATTTTTTTCCTTTATGGATTCCTATTGCGGGCTACACGGATATCAATGTGAAAATATCTTAAAAGGTGTGCTTGCTGTTAGGAACTGAAAACAGGCATAAACCACGACGAATCACCATCATTCTGCCACATATATCTTTACCAAAGTGCTTAGAAAGCTCCCAGTTTCACCCACCCCTAAAAGGAGACTTCATTTTTTTAAACACCTTTATTAGAGTATAATTGCTTTACAATGGTGTGTTAGTTTCTGCTGTATAACAAAGTGAATCAGCTATACATATATATAAAAGGAGAGTTTAAACTCAACTAAGGTACACATGAAAATTATAGTTCAAGGAGTTGGGATATAAATTTCAGTGTGAACAGTTAAAAGAAGCAGGGCTATTTAACTCACATAACAATTGTTATTATTCTCAAGGCTAGAGAGCCCTAGTAGTAGATTTCTTATGGTGGGTCTGCTCAGACCGTGTTCACTTTCTTTAAGAACAGATACCCCTCTTCCCACTGCCAGCAGTCAGCCCTGGGTGCATCCTGTAGCTCCACCCGCCTCTCCCTGGCTGTGTTGAGTGACCAAAAGAATGGACACTTGGCCCAGGAATGCTCCACCCAGAGACTGGGTTAGGTTCTGTAACAGGGATTTTATTTTTGAAATATACCTGGCTGTATTTCCTCTTTTCGGCAGTCCTGTTCCCTTTTCTGAAGTCTTTCTGTTGCTTTTACCCAGGGAAAGAGGAGGATAGAGAAAAAGCCTTTCTTGCCTCTCCAGGCTAACCAGTTCAGGTACCCTGTAGAGAAGCCCTTTATTCATGTCACCAGAGCCACAAGGCGCGTCTCAGGCAGTCGTGTAGAAATAACTGAGCAAGGCATCAAGGCTTTTGGTCCTGAGCAGGGTGCTATAAGCTGATAGGGTGTTTGTGTGAGGAGTAGAAAATGTGCATGGGGGCAGAGGTAGAAACAAACTTGGCCAGCTGATCAGTGCCTTTTTGCAAAAGTCAAAGTCTTTTTTTCTCCAGACGGAGGCAGTATAATGCCAGGGCACAGGGCTTGGTGAGTATAACACAGACTGGATTTTGGGTCGCATTTGTTCCTCTGACCAGAGGTCTGTGCGCAGTGCACATGTGCCTCAGCTGTACATAGAAGCCCTGTGCCTGAGGATAACTTCCTACAGTCTCTGCATTCCAGCATGGTGTTTAGAAAGTGACTTTGATTTCCCAGGCTACAGAAGAAGGGGAGGAACGCTCAGGAAAGTGGTTGATGGGTAGAGGAACCAGCCACTTTGCACAAGGCAACCAGGGACTAGGCAGGACAGATTTCACAGAGAACTCATGCAGGTGGCCAGGGCTACGGGAGTATGTGTTTGAGAAGCATTTACCTGGGGCTCTTACTGGGTACTTGAATTCTCATCACTTCCTGGGCTTTGGAATTTGCTTTAATTGGAGCTGTCAATTTTCACACAAGGTGGATTTCACTGAATAGAAGTTATTTGGCCAACATAATAGCAACTCTTATTCCCATAAGTAGCTCTTCTGTTTAGACACAAGCTTCTCCTTTGTTTCTCTGTAACCAGATGCTTTCTGCAATGCTTCTGTTATGCAACGCACTGGTAATCAGTAGTCTTAGTCACTCAAACCAACATGGTCAAAGTTACACTATGTTTTTGCAAGATCGATATACTATGATCTTCATCAGGGTTCCTGAATTCCTAAATCATCTGTATTGATTAATTCATGGTGTTTCTAGTTAAGGACTGACCATGTTAGACCAGGCAAGCTCGAGGTACCAAATATACAGTTTATTTGGGAATAGCAGAGTAATCCCAATTAATTGGGGACACGCAGATTTAGCGAGCAGCCGGGAGTCCCACGAGGGGTTAGGGCAGGTTGCGTTTACCCTTATGGAGAGCGAAAGAGGAACGGCCCCCGGGGGTCCACCCAGCAAGTTCATTGGCTCCAAGATGGCGAGAGATTCTTGGCGGCTGCCCATTGGTTGGAAGGTGCTTCCATCTTACGTAAAGCGGGCATTTACAGGAAGTCAGACTGTCAGCCTGTAAGGTTCCTTTTCCTGCGCGCAGTTCTCCATTTCTTATCCTTCATTTCTTATCCGTTTGAGACTAAAATCCTTCCACAGACCTAGAACAGTCCTCGAGACAAAAATAATTGTTGTCAGGTAAGTTTGGAAAAGACTACGTATTCTTCTCTCTTCCTGTTGTCTTCTCTTTCATATTATTATCATATTAGAGTTTATGAAAATTGCTCGAATAGCCTTTTAAATTAACTCTGAATGACCGAGACTTATTTAACTCAGAAACTATTTGTTCCTGTGGAACTGTTCCATGAAAACATTTTGTTCTAGATTTTGGAGTCTTGCATTGAAGATAACAAGAGAACATTTTGTTCTGGCCCTTTGAAAAAGTGGAATGCTTTCAGAAAGGTTTATTTTCCTATTTGGGAAATCATCTCTCTTTGTTTTAAGACCGCTGACTCTGGGCTTCCCTCTTCTTAAGTGACCTAGGCTTATCTGGTTTTGGTTTTTAATGCTTCCTCTGTTTGAGTAAGTGATGATTGTTTACCATCCATTCTATTCTTTCAAATGACAAATGATTTAAAAAATATTTTTATCTTTTCCCTTATGCTCAGGTAGCCCTTTGCTATGTACAGAGTACTTTCACATTCATTATCTTATTGATCATTCCTATGACACAGTCATTTTAAACAACCTTGCAAATAGTATTTAAAAATCATTAGGGCCATTAATATTCTATTTAGTCTGCAAAAATTTGAAATGGCTGACTCCTCTGTATCACAGAACTAACAGGATATAAAATTTTGCCAGTAGCAAAAATGTTTAGAGCTTTTACTTAACCATAGATTGCTAAACTCCAGTGAAAACTAAAGGAAAGAAAAACAGTGGGAGAGTTGTTTACTATTGTTATTGTTAGAAATAAACTGCCTCTAAAAAATTATGCTTCTCCTGATTTATTTTAGATTCTGGTCATGTCATTTTGCAAGGCCATTATATACAATATATTCTCAAAGATTCTTGGATTCACGTCATGATATTCTCCAGTAACCCCCAGCAAATAAATATCTAAGTAGAAGTATTTTGTTTGCTATCTTAAATTTACCCAAAACTTATGAGAAGAAATATTATTTTTAGAGTTGCTTTCTAGTTACACATTCTAGGATTTCTTAGTTGTTTTATTTCCCTGGTTTCTATTAGAAATATTAAATATTTGTTGGATGATTAAATAATGAGGTAAAAAAAATAATAATGAGGTAATAGTTAGCAAACTCCTGGAATTTATATCCCCTTTTTCACACCTTGCCTTTGATTTTTTTTTTTTTTTTTTTTTTGCAGTACGCTGGCCTCTCACTGTTGTGGCCTCTCCCGTTGCGGAGCACAGGCTCCGGATGCGCAGGCTCAGTGGCCCTTGCTCACGGGCCTAGCCGCTCCGCGGCATGTGGGATCCTCCCGGACCGGGGCATGAACCCACGTCCCCTGCATCGGCAGGCGGACTCTCAACCACTGCGCCACGTGGGAAGCCCTGATATTTTTAATATATATACTTATGTTGAGTCTGAACCAGTTGTGTTCAGTTCTTAATGGTTTCTATTGAATTTATATTATTTTTACAACTTTATTAAGGTATAATGGACAAACAATAAATTGCATATGGTTAAAGAGTACAATTGATGGTTTTTGACATATGTAAACACACATGAAAGGGTCACCGCAATCAAGATAACAGACATTTTGTTTAACCCCCAAAAGTTGTCTTGTGCTGCTTTGCAGTTATCTCTCTGTTTCCCCTGTCCCCAAGCAACCGTTCTTTGTTTTTTGTCCTTATAGTTTAGTTTGCATTTTCTAGAACTTCATAAAAGTAGCATCATACAGCATATACGTACTTTTTGTATCTGGCTTCTTTAACTCAGCGTAAAGATTCTGAGGTTCGTTACGTTGTTATGTGTATCAATAGTTAATTTTTTAAAAAACATCTTTTGAGCATAAAAGATAGTTTTGAGCATATATTTTTGCGGAATAGTATTATATATTTCACATTTTATCTCTTCACCTGTTGCTCTGCAATGAATTGTTTCTAGTTCTGTGCTTCTTTTTCTTTTTGCTATTGTGAGTAAAGCTGGTATGAAAATTACCTAGCAGTGAATGGTGTGGAATGGCTGATAGGTGTATGTTTACCTATTTTTTAAAAAATAACTTTTGTGGGACTTCCCTGGTGGTCCAGTGGCTAAGACTCTGCACTCCCAATGCAGGGGGCCTGGGTTCCATCCCTGGTCAGGGAACTAGATCCCACATGCCGCAACTAAAGATCCTGCATGCTTCAACTAAGAGTTTGCATGCCGCAACTAAAGATCCCGCATGCCGCAACTAACACCCGGCACAGCCAAATAAATAGATAAATAAATATTAAAAAAATAATTTTTGCAATGTCACTTGTGATAACATCTCAGTGAACTGCAAGCAGAATGCCAGTCATAAGTTTAAAACTATCTTGAGCATATGGTATGTGCCAAGAGCTGAGGAGGCAATGGAAACAAAAATAGGTATCTTGCCTGTTTTCATGTCACTTATAGTTACTGTAAATAACTATAATTAATTAAATGGCTATTCTAATAATTGTGTAATTGTACTTTGACTTATGTGCTTTGAAGGAGAGGAATGGGATTCTGTGAAAGACAGTAATAGGGTAATTAGCTGACTTCCAAACCGGGAGTCAGGGAAGGCTTACCAGGGGAAGTGATAATTAAGGATGAATGAGGATAAATGAGGTGAAAGTATGGAGGGTACAGAGGGTGGAAGAGCATTTCAGAAGAGGGAACAGCATATGCAAAGGTGAAAGGAAACAGGTGCATGTGGAGACCTGAAGAAGTCCCAGTGGCTGAAATAGGAGAAAGAGGCAAAGTCTGGGGAGGCCCTATTCATGACTGGACTTTTATTTCAAGAGAATGTGGGAGGGTTTTAAGCAGGAAGATAATATGTTTCAATTTGGATTTTGAAAAGATTGCTCTGGCTGCAGCATAGAGAAAAGATTACAGGGGGTATTAGAATGGATGTGGAAGACCAGTTAGGATACTATTGCAATGGTGCCAGCATGAGGTAAGGTGGTGTGCATGGTAAAATTGTCAAATAGATGGATTTGAGAGCTTGGTGGGAGATAAATGGACAGGTACTGCAGAATGGTAGGATAAGGTGTGCAGCACAAAAAGGGTCAAGGTTTCCGGCTTGTATCACAGTGCCATTTGCCGACATAGAGACCCCTAGGACAAGGCCAAGTTTAGGGGAGGAGGCCAAATTCTGTTTTGGAAAGTTGAGTTTGTGATACGTTTGAATCATGCAAATGGGCACACCATGCGAGACATATCTGTGTGGATGAGTCATGAGCTAAAGGGAGAGGTCTGGGCTAGGAATGCAGTTACGAATTATCAATATAGAGGTGGTATTTGAAGCTGCGGATTTGGATGAGATTGGGGTGGGGGAATTGTATAGAGAAGAGGTGAGGATTTTGAGGAACATTCCAGAGCCTTGGGGAACTCCAGTATTTAATGGTCAAGTCGGGAAGGATGAGCCTGAAAATAGAAGAGATGGAGAAAAACAATGAAGGTGTGGTCATGAAAGTTCAAGTTGTTACTTATATTAAGATGGAGGCCAAACCAGAATAAACAATGAAGCTATTAGAGAGCACTTCAGAAACTAGACTGTCATGACTTAAGGAGGACTAAGTTGAGTCAGGAAGGTACTTATAGGTCCTGAACTTGTATTATATGCTAGGTTCTTCGGTTAACTCTTGTCTGTCTCTCTCACAAGCCCTGTGAAGAATATTCTATTATCCCTACACAAATATAAGGAGATAAGAATCAAAATAATGATATCGTGCAAAGGGGGCTTGGTGCCATGCACCAGAGAGAGCAAAATGCAGAACGATTGCTTTTGAGGATTCATGAATCTGAGAGGAATGTTTTACCTTTGATCTTCAAAATTTTATTTTTCAGTTCAATCACCAATTATTTTCCATTTACTTTTTCCAAAATGACATAAGATTCCTGCTAAAAAGTGATATGAAATTCCTGCTAAAAGTGAGGTTAAAAATAGTTAGGTAGGAAAAAGCTCTAAGTGCAACATTTCAAGCCATTCTCTTCAAAAGTTTGGTGACTGTCTCGCAAATTCAAACTCTGGTCCAAGGTATATGTGTTTAATTCAAAGAACAGAAGCTTCAGCTCATGAGGGGCATGGAAGTTCACTGCTATTGCCATGGTCACACAGTAATTACTGATAAAAGAGGTTGGAGGTCGTATGTTAAAACCTTCATGGGTTGCCTGCTAGGCAGTTTTGTGGCTTAAATTAAGGGACTTGGACTTATATATCCGTTTTCATTCTCCCTGTAAAATTTGCTCTTTTTGTGTCCCTCCAGCTAATTACCAGAAGCACTTGTATAATTCCCTTCAAACAACCTCATCATCTTTTCCTCTGATCCTGCTGTAAAGTTGAAATGCAAAATTTATGACACTGCAGTCATTTTTATGGTAACAGACTGTGGCATCATAAAAACAAGAGTGTGATGACTTTACTGCAGGATCAAGCAGAAGAAGAAACTGGGTCCTATGCAGGAGAAGCCCTTTTTCAGAACCAAATTGCTTCGATGACAGCAGAGGAAAACACAAAATATTATTGCTAGTGTAGGAAAAGGTCCCCAAACTCATACAAATGTTTCCATAAACTGTGCTCAAGTGACAGGTATATTTGAAAGATGTTAGTCAAACCTTTGATGTTTTTGAAAACAGATGTCCAGCCATTGAAACTTGTGTGGATCTTGGAAATTTTAAGCGGTGATTTTTTTTTTTAAAGTAGATTTTCCTCAGTTATTGTTTGACCAGTGTTTGAAAAGTGAGCAGAAATATTTTCTCATGTTTCTGAGGTGTGAAAATTACAGTATATTTGAAAGTTGAAATTCCGAAGCGCTTGTTGATTTATTTTACTATTGCTTTTGTTTTTTCTCTTTTTAAAATCAGGTTTGTTAAGGTATATTATACGTATGATAAAGGTCATCCTTTTAAAGTGTACAGTTGGATGAATTTTGAAAATTGTACATAGTTATGCAACTACTACCAAAATCAAAATATAAAATATCCAGTGGCGCTGAAAAGTTTCCA